GCTTCGATTGGCATGGCTAAAAAGAATAGCTAGCTCAAATGATGGCACCTGGAAAAGGTATCTGACACATCATCTAGAACGCTTTGGCGGCCTTTTCTTGTTTCATTGCAATTATGATGTTAGTATCCTTCCACTGAATATTTCTCTATTCTATCTAGAATTACTGCAGTGGTGGTCAGAATTTAGAGATACGTTCTCTTCGGAAAAAGACTGGCGTTATATTCTTTGGAATAACAAACAAATACTCATTAATAATAAAACAGTTTATTATAAAAGCTATTTCGAAGCTGGTGTAGTTCACATCAGCGATCTATCCTTTGACTTAAATAACAAAGATTCCTTTTCCTTAGTTTCTAACAAGATTTCTAAAACTAATTTTTTAGTTTGGGCAGGTCTTCGACACTCCATCCCTTCCATTTTAAAAATTTGTACTCATAAATCAACAACAGGTGAACTTTCTCTAAAAATTGACGATAATATATTTGATGTCACAAAGAAGAAATCTAAAGACTATTATACTTTACTTGTAAGTAGAAAGGCTCTCTTTCCAACTAATGTAAACAAGCTGCAAAATGAATTTCATTTCACACTCGAGGAAGTTAAACAAATTTTTATGATCCCGCATAGTGTTGCTCTTGAAGCATATGTTAAGGCATTTCAATACAAAATTCTTAACTCCATTCTCTATACTAATGCTAAACTTTACAAAATTGGCTTTAAATTGAATGACTCGTGCTCATTTTGTTCATCTGAACCAGAAACACTATATCACTTCCTATATCTTTGTCCTTTCTCGGTAGATTTCTGGCGTGACTTCGAAGTATTCTGGCACCAACTTTTAAAGGAAAACATTCGCCTTTCGTTGCAAGATGTTTTAGTTGGAATGATACGACAAAACTCCCCTTCTGCTAAGCTTCTAAACTATCTAATTATGATTGGGAAATTGTACTTGTGGGATTGTAGAAGAAGTCAAATTCTTCCGAATATATATGGATTTAAAAAGAAAATTGCTGTAAAATATGAAACGGAAAAATATATAAGTATGCATAGTAAAAAAACAAACGATTTCTTTGAAGCTAAATGGATAGTGTCGCCTCTTGTAGATGCTTAACTATTTAAAGGTTTTAATATGCATCCACTTTCTGTATGTAATTAATATATCATTTACATTATATTTTGTAAACATTTCTAGTTTGTTTGAATATCAGTGTTAATTTGTTGTATTATATTATTAGTATTAGTAGTATTAGTTGTAACATTATAATTATGTAGGTAAGTAACTAATTTGCTGTATTAATGTCAATTTGTTTCAATAAAGAATTATATCAAAAAAAAAAAAAAAAAAAAAAAAAAAAAAAAGTTTATGCATTATTATTAGGCATCTAGGTTTATAATTTATAGTCTAATTTATAGTCTTTTAATATATGTTTATATATTAATTAATTATTATTTTTCTTTTTTTTCTTTTTTCTTTTTTGGAAGGTATGTCTTAGCATGGGAATTTGGTTTCCCCCTACTACCGTCCTGTTAACCATTTTTGTATTTTTGTTCGATTGTATATGTTAGTATTAGTTCATTTGTATCAGTTATGTATGGTTACGAACTGTGATTAAAGATTAAAGAAAGCTACTTCGTTTCGGAGCGGCGATTTTTCCAGTTCCACGAGCAACAAGCTGAATTCGGAAACGAAGTACATCACCTTACTCGCTTCTTTGAGAAATTGGACACTTAGCTACCGTCACGCTTAATGATGCTCATCAGGCAGCTACTAAAAACCAAACAAACAAACGAGCGAAGAATTAATAAAAATGGCCCAGAATGACGTTTTAAGAAATCTCGAGCCTTCAGTGTCTTTAATAGAACAGCACCATTTTTCGTGGTAACGGGAAGTACTTCATATATGATTAATATATAGATTTAGCCAGGGCTAAGAGCGAAGCGCTCTTTAATATTTATAGTTCCCTCAAAGAAAATATAAAATCGAGTAATACTAAAGAGCGGGTTAAAACAACGAGAGCGGTATGAAACAAAAACAAAACATCTAATTAGCTAAAAAACAACTTTGCTTGTGCAGCACACTTTTTTCTAATTAGCATAAAAACAACTTTTCACCTGCAGCACACTTTTTTGTACATTTCCTTGCCGTTGTTTTGCACGACTAAGACGTGAAACTTCTTCTTAGGACCTGTTTACATGGTGGTAAGGGACCCCAGGTAGATGAGGTAGATGCCAAGATTCCCGTAGTAATTCTTACAATACCAAGATTCTTGCCAAGATTCCCGTAGTAATTCTTGCCAAGATTCTTGCCAAGATTCCCGTAGTAATTCTTACCAAGATTCTTGCCAAGATTCCCGTAGTAATTCTTGCCAAGATTCTTGCCAAGATTCCCGTAGTAATTCTTGCCAAGATTCTTGCCAAGATTCCCGTAGTAATTCTTACCAAGATTCTTGCCAAGATTCCCGTAGTAATTCTTGCCAAGATTCTTGCCAAGATTCCCGTAGTAATTCTTGCCAAGATTCTTGCCAAGATTCCCGTAGTAATTCTTGCCAAGATTCTTGCCAAGATTCCCGTAGTAATTCTTGCCAAGATTCTTGCCAAGATTCCCGTGGTAATTCTTACCAAGATTCTTGCCAAGATTCCCGTAGTGCCGTAAAATTCCGAAAAATAAGCCCCTCTATGTACAAGCCCCTCCAAATACAAGCCCCCCAAACCGGCAACGCAAAAAACCCTCCGTTAAATTGCCCCTCCAAAGATTAGCCCCCGGGGGCTTGTACTTGGAAAATTGCCCTCAAATACAAAGTAAAACAAAGCAAAAACGGTAAATTCACTTCCAACTATAAGGCTAGCCCCATCGGGTTTGAAACGCAAATTTCCCTCCATAGAGAAGCCCCTCCAAAAATAAGCCCCTCAAAAAGGGGCTTTGAAAAATATAAGCCCCGGGGCTTATTTTTGGAATTTTAGGGTAATTCTTAGCAAGATTCTTGCCAAGATTCCCGCAGTAATTCTTGCCAAGATTCCTGCCAAGATTCCCGTAGTGTTTTAGTATTTTACCAACATTCTTGCCAAGATTTCCGTACTAATTCTTGCCAAGATTCTTGCCAAGATTCCCGTAGTAATTCTTGCCAATATTCTTGCAAAGATTCCCGTAGTAATTCTTACCAAGATTCTTGCCAGGATTCCCGTAGTAATTCTTGGCAAGATTCTTGCCAAGATTCCCGTAGTAATTCTTAACAAGATTCTTGCCAAGATTCCTGCAGTAATTATTACCAAGATTCTTGCCAAGATTCCCGTAGTAATTCTTGCCAAGATTCTTGCCAAGATTCTTGCCAACATTCGCGTAGTAATTCTTGCCAAGATTCTTGCCAACATTCCCGTAGTAATTCTCGCCAAGATTCTTGCCAACATTCCCGTAGTAATTCTTACCAAGATTCTTGTCAAGATTTCCGTAGTAATTCTTGCCAAGATTCTTGCCAAGATTCCTGTAGTAATTCTTGTTAAGATTCTTGCCAATATTCCCGTTGTAATTCTTACCAATATTTTTGCCAAGATTCCCGTAGTACGTCGTAGTAATTGTTACCAGGATTCTTGCCAAGATTCCCGTCGTAATACTTACCAATATTTTTGCCAAGATTCCCGTAGTACGTCGTAGTAATTGTTACCAGGATTCTTGCCAAGATTCCCGTCGTAATACTTACCAAGATTCCCGTGGTAATTCTTACCAATATTCTTGCCAAGATTCCCGTAGTAATTCTTACCAAGATTCTTGTCAAGATTCCCATAGTAGTTCTTGCCAAGATTCCCGTACTAATTCTTACCAGAATTCTTTCCAAGATTCCCGTAGTAATTCTTACCAAGATTCTTGCCAAGATTACCGTAGTAATTCTTGCCAAGATTCTTTCCAAGATTCCCGTACTAATTCTTACCAGAATTCTTTCCAAGATTCCCGTACTAATTCTTGCCCAGATTCTTGCCAAGATAGTGTTACCGTGAATTAGAGGGGGTTACAGGAGGTTAGAGGGGTTACACCGAGGTACATGATGTTACAAAGGGTTTTATCACGGGTTACAAGGGGATACAGGGGGATACCGATTGTTACAGGAGGTCGGACGGGGTTACAGGAGGTTAAAAGTGTTTACAATGGGTTACAAGGGGTTTGCAAGAGATTGGTATCACGATATATTGTACCAAAATACGCCCACTTCTCGAATATGCCTCCCCGGTGTTGGGCAGTTTGAACCAAACAGGTGCCTAGATACCATTGGAATACCAAGAAAATCCCTTCCAACGTTAGAGGATAGGTGAAACGTAGCAACAAAGCGTGAATTAGAAAGAGTTGGGGATGATATTAATCACCCGAATCAAATTTTTCTCACTAAGTCAAATACCAGCCACGGCTGTAACTTAACATCCAAACCAGGTTCAGTAGCAATACCAAAGTCAGGAACGAAAAGACATGAAAATTCATGTATAGCAAGAGCTGCAAGACTCCTTTTATGATCTGTTATTTTTACTTAAATTTTTTTTTAGAATAATCACTTGATAGCATTTTATAGTATATGTAAATCCGTTGGAAATCCATTGTATATATTTTTAAAAGATGGATAAATAAAGCTTATTAGTAGTAACCTGAGATCAGGCTCAATTTTCGTGTCAGTTTGTAATAACATTCCGGCGGGCAAGGCGAAACGAAAACAGAATTTTAGCGGTTAATTCCCCCCCCCATAGCTTTTCTAATGGTCGGTCCCTTAATTCCATTTTTCCTCCAAACAGCGTTTATTTTGCCCCCAAATTGCCTGAATTATCGAATGAGTGAGAGGAAGTTGTCATTGTCTACTGTCGGAGCCTAAGGAGGCCTGGGGCTATCTGAGCCCGCGTTAAACTTTCACTTGGAAAACCGCAAAAAGTGATGAAGAAGTACACATAAAAATTCATTGACAAATTGCATTGCACGTGGATATAGGTTTTTGTGCTGGCTTCCTAATTTACGCTGCGAAATTCTCATGGACCAAGCGATGAATGTTAAAGCTGGAATGAAGTCGCAGACTTTCCGGAACTGTAGACTTCAGATTGTCACAGGCGAGCACTCGCTTTCCACGCAAGATGGGGGCGAGTGTGTCGTGGATGTTTTCGAGGACACAAACAACAACTCGCTCGATATTCGCATACGAAGCGGTGAGTAATATTTGTCGACAACAGCGCGTATTTGTATATTCCTTAGCAGCTTTAAGGTGAAAGGTTTGTAACTTATTTTGTTGACGGTTTTTTCCTGTTCAGGTAATGAATACATGCCTAGTTTTAAAGTTACAAGAGAAAGCGATCACTGCCAAATTGGAAGATTGAGGTATTTGATCGACCTACCCGAGCAGAATTTGAGCGTCCTTCTAAGCTTTACGCATCGAGAAGGTAAATATGAGAGAAGTTTACAAAAAATATGTCAAGATAAATCCAAGGTTAGGGTGAAATAGGTGTCTTTCCGCGAACAACGGTTGATTGCCAGCTAGCTCATACATAATGAATACGGTTTAGTTAAGCTTATATATCTTTTTGATGTTGCGATACTAATGGAATCCATTTCCTAATAGCTAATCAGTGGGTTTCTAAGGTGTATTCCATTACCACCAAAAAACGAAACCAAATAACTGAAAAACAAATACGGCCTTTGATAATTTTTTTATTTACTTTTAAACTACTGGGAAACAAATAAAAAACTAGCCTTATCACGGAGAGACAAAACATATTTCCATTTCTTGAAAATGCATTATTAAGATTTACAAGGTGAAGTGAATTCCAGTCCCTTAGTGATTGGTGTCAATTCGCTCCATATACGTGTGTCAATTCACTTACCATTGCCAAAAATTATTTGTTTAACAAATGATGTTGAATTACTGCGTCTGTTTTACTTTTCTAGTCTTTTTGTAAATGTTTGTTTTAAACTATCAAATGTGACATTTGTTTGATGGGTAGTATTCATTCAAAAGTCAGAAAAGATAATTTATTTAGTGGTACATCAGTAACCTTTTCTTCTTATAACTGTCATGATAATGAAAGAAACAAGAGAGAAGTTTGTGTAGTGTTTTTGTAAGGTAGTTTCATTAAACCATGAAACTAATAAGAGTCAACAGGAATCACAGCGAGGTGCCACATGGTATAAGCTAAGCTCATGTGGCATCCTCATAAATTTTATGTGTTGTTGAGTGAAAAATTTGGCTGCCCCTCAACTGAGATCTTAGCAAGCAGGATGCGAATCCTGGCCTTATTACATGTTATTAATGGGAGGCCGTGCTCAGACTCGCTTTATTGAGCTGGGGGACAATGATGTTTTGATCCATGGGCGGATTGAGGGGTACTCTGAGGAGACTGCAAACCCCCCCTTTTTCTTTGAATTTTTTTATTTTTTTTAAAGAATTTAAGTAAAATAAAATAGTATCTATATAGCTGGCAAGTTTGCCCCCTGCCCCCTTTTTGAATTTTCTGGATCTGCCCCTGTTTCCCCTTCTTTTTTGGGTAATATTCAGATATTGCTATACACAGGGAGAGTTGTGTAATTTTATAGAGCTGCTTTTCAAAATTTTAGTTTTTTTATGTCAGATAAATCTAGAAAGAGCAGTAGATCTGCTCTTTGACATGTAGGACAGCAAACACGTGTATATCATACTTTCCTAGATGTCGTTGACTTTAAAGAGCTGCTAAACGCAACCACTGGTAGGATGAAAAAACGCTCAGTTTTCAATGAAAGAACAGAAAAAGCTTCAGCCAGTCAATATTTTCAGGTGAGAATAAGCAAATGGCTGCTGGAGACAGGTGATTGAAGTACTTTTACAGTAAAGTTTTATTCATTCAATGGATTTCAAAGTTTCCATTTGAGGTTAAAATTTTGCAGAAGTTCTTTCATTTTAATATTGATGCACTTTAAGCATAGCATAGCTATGCATCCAACTTGCCAGTTAGAACTAGAATTGTTATGATGCTATTGATTCTGGTGTGGTTTAAGTTGAGAAAGAGGCAAGCTCTTCTAAACAAAAATATGAACTTGTTCTCTTTCTAGCTGTGGTTTAGTTTTTTGTTTGTTTAAATTTTATCTTTTATATTTTTTGTGGGTATGAGACTGTATGGTAGTTACTTTCAAGCAATGGGATTAATTAAAATTTTAGCCAATGATAAAATCTTTAACCAACAACTTAGTTTTGCATGAAATAATCTTACTGGGGCATGCTCTTCTAAGTTGCATCACAAAAATGCCTGTAAAACATCAGACATCACATGAGTTTATGTAACAGTGCTCTTCCTTATTTTCACTCCCTGAAAGGTGTTTAACAAATTTTAAACTCTCATAAAATAAAAAAAACTACGATTCCAGTCCACCCTAGAGTTTTCTTGTTAAAACAAAGCTCAAACCGATCTTCTGTTATTGTTGGTATTGTCTGGCATTATTTTTACAATAACTTTTTTACACCCTCATACTGCAGAGATTGTCATTAAATATCATCCCATAACATGTCATTCACCATGTCTAAACAGGGCTTGAAAAAACTTGAATTCCGGCTTGTCCTTTGGGTAAGCAGCTCTCAAATTTTGCTCACTCGGGTCACGATTTTTTTTAGACTATGACTTCCCTGGACTCTTGCCTATTGGGCAAGTACCGTAAAGTTCCGAAAGTAACGACCTCTTGAAAGTAGCAAACCTCCAAATGAAGCAATCCCTCCGAAATTAACAACCCTCCAAAAGTAGAGACCTCAAAACTAATTTCCCTTTTTTCAAAAAAATGATGGATATGATAGATATCCTGAAGAAATGCAACACCGATCTGAGGTATATCAACAATGATTATTTGACAATCCTATTCACAACTCTTAAAGTACAGGATAAACACTACCCTTTTTCAAAAGTATTCCCTTCATTTTTTTTTGCGATTTTATTTTTTGAAGTGCCCATGTGGAGTACATGTTTATGCCATTCGAAAGTAACGATCCCCCAAAAGTAGCGAGCCTCCGAAAGTAGCAATAGTAGAAGGGTGCTAAATCCAAAAGTACATGTAACAACTCTCATTACTTTCGGAACTTTACGGTCGACTTTTAAAGTTACGTGTCCGGCATTAAAATCTACTTGTCCCAGACCACTGGATGGGACTTTTTTCAAGCCCTGCTTAAAGGGTTGTCACTTGTTTCCATCTGCCAAACTGACATTTTCCTCTCAGTGGCTCTCACAAGACATTTCACTTTTCTTCCATGAAATTTCTCTGTCTCTTGAAATTTCTGTTCATAAAAGTCTAAGTCTCTTCAATTTTCAAGGAAAAAAAATTCCAAATGGCACGAGTAGGATTCGATCTTGGAGCATTGGAGTGCATCACTTTAACCCCTTCACCACCGAGGATTTGCTGACAATGAATGGTTTGATTTGAATATATATAGCAACAACCCTAACGGTAACCCTAACCCTTACTTTGTGTACGAATCATTAATATGTCAACATCAGTTTGGCAGATGGAAACAAGTGTTGACTGTTTCAAGGTCACAGGGTCAAAGCAAGTGATCTCTGGGGTTGTTTTTCACACAAATCCTCTTTGTTAGTTCTAGAAGTCCTTTGGAGAACATGGTAGCATATTTACATTGATTTCAGGACTAAATGACTCATTGTTTTGTTGCAGTTTTATGGATATTTATCACAACAACAGAATATGATGCAGGTAATTAGAAGTACAAATTACTTGGGAATAATGGTCTTTTTTTAAAGAATGATTAATGACTGATCGAGGACCATGACGATGATGTTGATGATGATGATTGATGTTGATTGACAATGATGATGATGATCATAGTGGTAACCATGGTGATGACAATGGCGATGACAGTGGCAAAGACAATGACTTTGATGATGATGATGACAATAAAAGTATGCCTGACAGAACTCTTCCTGGATTGACATCTTCTTGCTGTTTCGAAATAAAACTAGTGAAACTGAGGAAAAAAATTTGTGATTAGGCCAGTGGCATAGAAAATGTCTTAAAAATTAACACCATACCCCTCTCACCTCTAAATGTGGCCAAGGTAAAAAGTCCATAAAAATTTCAAAATTCTTTTCATACAATCCTAAAAAGTGAGGAGCTTCATGCAAAATGTATGCAAAGAGGATTTTCTTGAATGGTAAAAGTTTAAGTGATAAATCACCCTGTCATAACTTTGCCCAGGGCTGGTTAAGTACTTGCAATAATAAGCAATATGACTCTTTTTTACCAATTAGGATTACATCAGAACATCAACATATCAACGAGCAATGTTGCAGAACTGTACAGATTTTCAAGACAAGGTATAATCAGTCGTAAAAAAAGTGAAAAATGCTTTGTGTTTGTGAAAGATAACAGAAATCAATGTGCAATTTTGCCAAGTTTATATACCAGCAATACCTTGCTGTAGTTGAAGTTAGCTATGCACTCTGCACTCTGCACTCTGCATTATAGGTTATAAAACTATCTGACTTTGTCTGTTTACAGGTGGTGATTGATGTCGGTGCTGGCTCAGGTGGGAATTACACTTTGCATTGAAAGTTTTACTAGTTATGATACATGTAACCTGTAGGCAACTATTATAACTCTCAGCGCTGTTGTCAGCATGTATCTGTTTATGTTTTTTTTCGCCATTAAACCATCTGAATTTTTCTTGAAGGGATTTTGTCATTTTTTGCTGTACAAGCAGGAGCAAGGAAGGTGTATGCTATCGAAGCCAGCACAATGGCAACACATGCAGAGGTACTACTCCTTCATAGTTGAAATGCTTCTAACTCCTGTTATCTCATACTTCCCTCTTGTGATGGACATTTGGAAAGGTTTAAGGTCAAGTCGCCTGATATCATCTTGCCCAAAGTTATGTCACCCAAAATTTTTAGTTAATTTGCCTTTAATGTTGAGTTATCTTGCCTGAAATTTTATCATGCTCAACAACATCGTAACATCCTTATTGCACATTTACTGCACTTGTTTTGTCTCATCAAGGCTTAAAGAACGAGGTATATCACTGATTCATTGCACTTGTTTCATTTCTTCAAGGGTTTAAGAATGAGATGTATTACACCCTTATCCTGCTTGTCTCGTCCTATGATGGTTTAAAGAACATGATATACCACTAAAACTCTTCATAATTAATTAACTGTATTTTTCTATGTAGTACACCTGACAAAATTTTGGGCAACATAACTCATCATTTTGGGTGACTTAACTAAAAATAACAGGTTACAGAGCTCTGCTTTGGGGCGGCATAACTTTGAGCACGATGACTTTCGGGTAACTTGAGCGATTACTGTTGGAAATAGAACAAACCTTGTTGCTTATTTTCCTAAGTTGCATTATTTTTCATGCTCTTCATGGCACACTCAAGATTTTGCAAATCAAATTGTCATGTACATTACATTGGTATGCATGCATAGCCTAAGGCATCTGAACATGTTTGTTTTATTATTTTTTATCTCTCAATTTCATAGGCTTTGATAAAGCAAAATAACTTGTCTGACAAAGTCATTTTGATCCCTGGAAAAGTTGAAGAGGTGATGCAATAAGCTGGTTTTATTTGTTAGTAAAACAATAATCATTCATGCAGTTGCTTGGTGTACTAAAAAATCAAAGAAAGAAACGTTAGGAAAACTTAAATACAAAGTATGGTCTTGCTGTCAAGCTATAGAGATGAGCAGTCACTACGTCATGGTAGCAAATTTCTGGATCTCAACCAACCAGGCAAAAAAAAAAACGAAAAAAATTGACATGTAAGACTTTCCTGTGTACGATTACACTCAGGAAAATAAAAATGGTAGCCCATACTTTTCATCTATCGTTGGTCAATGCAAACCATTTCAAGAACAATAATTGTCGAGATTCAGAAAATTTTGCTACCATGGTAACTTGACATCAATCTTCTTCTCTCCATGAAACATTACTTGTCAGTGAAATGGAATTAATGATTGCTTTTATTTTAGGTTGAAATTCCTGAGAAAGTTGATGTAATCATTTCTGAACCCATGGGATACATGTTATATAATGAGAGAATGTTAGAAAGTTATCTTCATGCCAAGAAATGGCTAAAACCAGATGGTATGTCAACATGATCTGTAGTTACTACTTGTGCAAGAGATTATTATAACTCTATATATCCACTTTTTCTCCCAGCTCCAATCACCCTTTTCAGCATTTCCCATCTTTTTCATTTCTTCGATTAACCACATTTTCTCATTTCCCATTTTCTTTCTCTAGTTTCCCAGTTTCAGCTCCCATTTCCCACTTTTTATTCTGCCCTACTTCTTTTCTCCTTGTCCCTTCTCTTTGTCACATTTCCCAGTTCCCATTCTGTTTTTTGTGTTTGTCCCAATTCACACCCTTCTTTTTGTCTTTTTTTCGCAATTAATTCCTGTCTCTTTCTCCCATTTCGCAACAACCACCCCATACAACAATGAGTTGTTTCCTTGGGATTATATTTTAAACCACAGTCCAACTTTCCTTTAAGCAAAATTTATTCCTGAATTTTTTTTAAAACCTCAAGAGTTCCCTTTCTCATCAGGGTTGTCAAAAGTAGGCGACTGCTGGTGAAAATCGCCGCCTCCTTGGTTAGTAGCAGTCTGCTACTCTGCTTGGCATTAATTTACGAATGATGTTTTTTAAATAAAATATCCCTGGACTGGTCGCTTACTTTGACAACTCAGCCGTCTACTTCAAAACTTTCTGACAACCCTGATTACTTTTTCTCTTTTTCTTTCTTTTATTTTTGCCCTTTGTTACCAGGTAAAATGTTCCCTACCAGAGGAGATCTTCATGTTGCTCCATTTTTCGATGATGCCCTATACATGGAACACTTCTCAAAAGCTAACTTCTGGTTGGTATTTGCTGTATATAGTTGAAGTAAATAAATAAATAAATAATGATTTGGAGGTCGGATATCCACAAAGTGGTTCTTTGTCTACCTGATTCCTGGTCGAATTGAAATGTGGAAGTGTTTTTTAAGAGAGGGGGAAACTGGAGTGCCTGGAGAAAAACCTCTCACAGCAAAGGAGAGAACCAACACAGGGTTGTCAAAAGTAGCCGCGGCTGCCGGCAAAAATCGCCACCTACTTGGTTGGTATTTGCCGGCTACTCTGCTTGGCATTTCTTTATGGATAACTTTTTTAAAATAAAATATCCCTGGACTGGCCGCTTACTTTGACAACTCAGCTGTCTACTTCAGCACTTTCTGACAACCCTGCAACAACAAACTCAACCCACATATGGTGTTGATGCGGGGATTTGAACCTGGGCCACATTTGTGGGAGGTGAGTGCTCTTACCACTATGCTATCCTTGCTCCCCATAAAGCAGTGGTTACTGCCATATTTGAGATTTGTTTTCAGAATAATGAAGTAGGTTTCCAATCAGTAAGTTTTATACATGCGCATGTTTACTGGTCAAATTTCACTTCAGGTTAATTTTGATGTAACCTAGATTGATCCTCAATTTCCTGTACCTCCTAGCCCTAAGAAACAAAGGAAATTGAGAATCAACCTAGGTTAAAAATTTTTAACCTTGAAACAAATTTGTCCAGTAACATTTACGTACTGAATTGTGTTCCATATTATTTTTTTAGGTATCAAAATTCATTTTATGGAGTGGATCTGTCAAATCTGAGAGACTCGGCCTTAGAGGAATATTTTCGACAACCGATTGTTGTATGTGATAATGTTTTCTTTATAAAATGATTTAATATGACTTTTGCATTCTGATCAAAAAAGGCCTAAACCTTAAGCTGTAAGGATGCACATGAAAAAAAAAATGACCAATAACCTGAATAAACATAATCTCATCAGTTATTATTTATTTATTGTGTGTTTCTCTCAAGAAATGTTAAAGTTCTATTATTTTGTTTAAATGGTCACATCGTGTGATTTCTCCTACAGCCCTGATAGTTTTCACCATGTTAAAAATATGTTTTCATATTTAACTTTGAGCTTTGTAGGGTCCAGCTTGTAATATAGAAATTACTCTGACTACTAGAAATACATAAATCGCAGGACCTCTCTAAGGGCTTGGGGGGAATGGCAAGTAAAGCCGAGAAGAAAATTTACCAAAGTCAAGTGTTTAGCGCAAAGCATGTAATAATGATCCTTAAAAGTAGAAATTTTTGGGTGAAATTATCTGTTAGATGCAAATCTTACTTTTGTGAAATTCTCTTTAGGATACTTTTGATGTACGCATTCTGATGGCCAAGCCTGTGACACATACTGTAGACTTTCTTAGTGCAGCTGAAGAAGATCTACACAGGTACACCAGCTTTCATCAGTTGGTATTGTTTTTGGTTTGTAACTGCATGTCAGTGGCATCTTGTATTCAATTATCAGATCAATATTTGATATTAAAAGTTCCCAAGTTATGCACAGTGTAAAAATCTGTTATTATTATATCATTAAACTCTTGAACTAACATGTCTTGGAGGTTTTTTGTAACCGTTAATTTGGACGTTAAAATTTCAGGATAGAAATTCCCCTTCACTTTGTAGTACATTCAGCTGGCACTGTTCACGGTCTTGCTTTCTGGTTCGATGTTTTATTTCAAGGTAGCAGGTAAGTTGTTGTGATCAAAATTTATTAATTTGATGATTGTGTGTGAAGTATGCTTGGCTGATGTTAATATTATTTTGTATTAAACAATGGCAAAATAAGCTGAAGTGAAGTCACTATATATCATATCCTATTTAAGTTTGACTTGAATATTTTATCAAGCTTTTGAAATAAAACTTATACCTAAATGCACATTTTTATCACATACTTCTTTGTTAATTCAAGGGTATTTTGCTGAGTAAATCCAATCATGATTTTCAGATACTCATTACTTATTAAAAATTAATTTGTTTAATACTTATATTAATTTTTATCCCAAATTGTCAATTGGTACTTATTTCAAAACTTATAAACTATTGTTCTACAGATTCTTGTCGTTTTTGGTGATTGAAGATTGTATTTTGTTCCTTATAAAGTGATGTTTTACTTTGCCTGACAGTGTTCCAGTTTGGCTTTCCACTGCTCCTCAGGAACCCCTTACTCACTGGTATCAGGTAAAACAGAATATTTAGAATTCTTCTTCAATAGAGACCTTCTGATAGGGCTCAAAAAATGTTGTAAATTATGTAGAAATTCCAAAAGATTTAATTACGTGGCAAATTAATTATTATACACTAAATTTAAGTTGTTTCTTTCTTTCTTTCTTTAATGAAGGCTCATTACATTGATTGCGACCATTATCTTGAAAGAAAAAACAACCTCTCCAACTTCTACCTCTCTGTTAGAATCATTAATAATAATATTGATTGACTAGCCCTAAATCTCTGTCAATTTTGATGTCTAAAATGGCAGGAGACCATTACTTCCAAGAATAGTATCATCCCTTGCATTGCAAAATACACCTGCTTTGTGGGTTAATTTGTTCCATAACGAATTTTCTGTTTTAGGTTCGATGTCTTCTTCGAAGTCCATTATTTGTTAAGGTTGGACAGTCCTTGTCAGGAAAAGTACTTCTCATATCAAACAGAAGGTACAGATGAATAATATTATTATTAGAGCTATGATCCTTGTTTTAAAAGAATAGAGGTTGAAACCTCTAAAGGTGAACAGCAGTTTCTCCTTTAAGTAGCCTACTGCTCAATTAAACATACTGACTCAAGGTTGTGAGAAAAAATGGAAATGATTAACAAGTGTTGTTAAAAAAAACTTGCAAGTGCCACATGTAATGTATGGAGAACAGTTTGAAGAGTTATATGCTTGGTATCATAGGTTGCAGAGTGGAGACATGATCTAACCTCAGTTAGTAACGTCTGTGAAGCAGCGGTGATATCCTTCTTCTGGGCCACAACTGATTTGACACATTACCGGAAATGCGTTTTGAACTTCCCTCTCACCTTATTGGCAAATTGACTATGGCGTTTTGAACAGGCCAAGCAAAAAATGGTGCATACTTACTTACTTTACTGGTACACAGGTGAGGGCCCAGAAGAAGGATTTTGGCACCATATTGCTGACGGACTTATAACCTGAAGTTTAGTTCCATCTGTGGCACAGGCTATATGCTTGGTGATATTGTTAAGGTCCTAAATTAAGATCAAACAATGTGTGTTACTTTCTATATTAAATGAATTAAATTTTACTCTCCCTTCATTTTCATCTACACCTAATAGACAAAGCTATGACGTTGAAATAGAAGTCTCAGTGGATGGAACTAACATCAAATCAACAAACAGTCTTGACCTAAAGAATCCTTATTTCCGCTACACTGGTAGCCAAACTGTAGTTCCCGCAGGTACAAACACAGTGTCACCAACTGAACTGTACTGGAACAGCTCCGTAGCCGGTGTTAGTGAAAATGGTCTGGATACAGGATCTTGCGGTGCTCTTATGGGTAATGGACTTGGAATTGGCTCAGTTGGCTCTTATAGTGGAGGTTGGTATGACCTGTACTCCCAAAAGTGCTGTCTTCGTGAAAAGGGCTCTCTTAAGGTTTCTTCACGTGAGCCCGGTTGACTGGGCTGGCTCGGTTTTCGGGGTCTCACCTTACCTCTAAATCCTTAGTAAAATTTTCAACGTGTTCATGTGAATGGTGGGATCTCGGTAAGCGGGCTGGAAATTTTGCCAAATGAACACTTCAGTCCAGTTACCAGGATGAAAGCAGGATTAATTCTGGTTGCCCTGGATGGCATCGTCTCGCATTGCCTGCTGTATTTTCCACATCATAAGCATCCCATTTAACTGCAGTGATACAGCTATAAGAGTTGCCAAAGCTATGAAAGGCATGAAAGTTATAACTTTGTGTTTAGCTAAGTTTGCTTTGTTTCTTGAATTTCACGCCAGAACTCGCTCCAGGATCTTCTGCCTTTTCCCATCTCGGAAACCAGGCTGAAATTTCTTATATGAAGCCAAGGCGAAATTGGTCCTGGTAACCCAGCCAGCCCAGTCAACTGGGTGCACATGAAGAGGCCTTTTTAATTAGTGTTGAGTCAATGCTGTGTAACACAGAGAGTGGTCACAAGAATTAACAATATGACATCACAGGACAAATTAAATTGACACTTAAACTAATAAGAAGTCTACACTATTTTTATAGAAAAATGTAAAGACAGAGGACCAGGGTGCAAAGAAAAAGGAGTTTTTAAAGCTTGTAACTAGCATTTACTGGCCTGAAAGTCCTTTTAACTAGGCTGGGGAAAAACTCTTTGATTAATGATTAATTTATTAGCTTTTTCTCGATCTTTTTTTTTGGCATGCTGCAGGATAAAAAGTTCTTGTGGAGGAATCAACGTTTTCCTGCCAGGGAATACAATGTTTTGGGCTTGTTTTTTGTTAACAACTAGCTGCCAGTATCAATTTTTAAGCCCAAAATCAACTCATGCATTATGCATGAGCACTGATCTCATGAAAGAAGAACAATTTCTCATTCCTGACTCACAAATCTGGATGAATGCTTCTTGAGCTCATGATGTATAACAAAAATACAATTCAGTTTGCCAAAAAATATTCCAAAAAGGTGCTTAATGTTGACTTTGTACATCCTAATAGTATCACAACATGCTAAAATTTTTGCCTTTGAAATAGCTTCAAAAATGCTCAAAAGTTGGACATCTTTCAACATTTTCGGCAAAGTGTGAGCGTCTTTGGAAAATCTTTAAAATGTTCAGAAAAAATTGCTGGAAGTTGGTGGGATTATTTCATAAATTCAGGTCATCACAAGAACAAATCTCACACTGTTGGGTCAGAAAAAGTTGGCAGGTATACCTTTCTACCAACTAATTTTTCTTTATCATTCTTTAGCAGGGGGCATTCTAGGTGCCTCGCCTTATGCTCTTGGAGGTATCCCAAGTGGGATGCCAGTAGTCAGTGCTGTTCCAAATGCAACATCCCTTGAAGGAAACTCCAGTCACTATGTTACAAACAGATATGTTGTTGGAAATCAAGCAGCCATTGTTCACGGCTACGGTGGAACTAGCTGTGGGGAATACATTAGCAGTAAAGGTGCTTATCATTCAATGGTGTACTCGCGGTGAAGTTTGCCTTGTCACAGTGGCCAAGTTGTCTGAAATCGATAATATTTTCATCTATGGAAGTGACTGAGAAGTTCCATAACCTAAGCAAATTAAGTACAGTACTGCTCAATACCTTTGAAATGAATACTCCATTGTGGAGGTTTTTTTTATGTGGACTAAAAAGTTAAAACTGTCTTGTCAAGCATAACAGTCTGTACCACGGCTGGAAAGTAGTGCTTGGTTGTTTTTCGTACTTTCCAGGTTTTTTCGCTTAGAAGCATTCTTTACAGCTCTATTTTTAGTGCCTGAGGGAAAACAATGCAAAGTAGGTCATTTTTCGCAGAATCAAAAATGGGTGAATTAAGCCACTCTGAAATGCCTAGTAATCAACCAAAATTAATGAACTAGGAGGTACATGTAGGAACCAGGAGGTAGCTCATTACAGCTGTAGCTTTCATTTGAATGGTCAAACTGTTTTTGTTCACAGACTCAAAAGTTAGGACCACCTTGTAAAGAGTAACAAACAGAACCACAGGAAAGTGCTGTTTATCAGTTTTCATACATAAAATGGTCCTCAGGCTAGTACTTTCAGACTCAAAAGGTTGAATTATGTTTTATTATATGGCTGAATCCGCGAGTGGGCAAGATGTAGCAAATCCCGTGTTCTGATTGGCTACGTGAATGGGCAAGAGGGGCTTGCCCATCTTGTCCGCTCAGGATTTCCCACATTGATCCCTAAAGAAAAGGTTTTCTTTTGGCCATATGATAAATCCTTTATTGACCAGGTTTGTTCGGTCAAGATGGCTGTATGTTGACCTCATTCCTTTTTTGCAGTTTTATTGACCTCAACTTCCTCTCAGTCAATAAAAATGCATTAAAGAACTTGGCCAATAATACAACCTTTTTGACCAAACAAGCATAATTGGTCAATAACACTTATGTATAAGATAATTGACTATATAAATGGGAAAGTAAAATGGCCAAAACAGTTTAGTTTTACCCTCAAACGTGATTCTGGAATGTTATAATTTTCATGTGGCAAGATTACTTCTTTCTGTTGAATAGTAACTCTTATGCATCAACAATGTACTTTAAAGTTAAGATTAGACACGTCATGTGGCATAAGTAATTTTAACTAGGTTTTGCTTTGGACGGGAAAGAGGATAGTTGTAAATATTTCAAGAGTGCTTGGCATTTTACGAGGTTTGTGGCTTTGTATGGCACTAAAATAATATAATTATTATGTTTTGCACTGAATATAAATGTGACCAGGGACATTGTACATAATTTTTGATGGAAATGCTTTTATGTCGCTGGGCTTTTATGTTGCAGTTGTGGGTATTATTATTTTGTCTTCATTTTGCACGGCATTTGTGTGAATCAGACCTAAACTGATTCATTTGGCAGCTGTTTACTCTTAAGCTTAACATATAGCTTCATGATATTCCTGTGGGAAAAATTTTTTCACTATTAATAATAATTATTAACTGTAAGCTTAACTACAGTATGAAGAGTTACTTTGGTACTTTTAATTAAAATTGAAACTTTGTGTTAAAGATTATCTTTTGTAACATTGTGAATTCCACTTTTTATCACTTAAGTTAAATTAACAGAGATTCTGTAGGATATAGTATATTATTACTATGCTCTATAAGTTCATATCAATATATTTTACTTCAAGTACAAAAACTGAAAAGCTTGTGTTGTAATTTTTTTTCGATTAATTTTCTTCTTTCTCTTATCTTTTCTTGTATTTCTTTTTTGTGTATCTTGGTTTTGTTTGGTTTGTTTTTTATTTTAGTTTCATAAGTTATTTTGGAAATGTTTGGGAGTTTTGGCAAAGGGAATGGAAAGATGAGTGAGCCATCTATTTCAAAATCTCCTTCATAAAGGCTGCTATAAAAATTAGCTGAACTTGCAGAACAGACTTAACAGAGATTTTTATATTGTAGGTATATGCATCTCTTCTAAGTCCATAGGATATTTCCCACTGCTTTCCTAATGAAATGGGATGTGCCATTGAAAATTCTCCAATCAGAATTTCCAGTTTCCTCCTAATAAAACACTGCCATGTGGCTGTTAATTAATAAACCAATACAAGGCCGGCGGAGTGGATTTTCAAGTGGGGGGATAATGCGAACCTGTAAGTGTGAGCAAACTAGGAGGGTCCGGCGACATTACGTTCCCCCAGGAAAATTTCAAATTTAAGTCTTTGAAAATGGCTATAAATGCTTCTAAAACTGCCAATAGTGATAGGCTCATGGAATCTGTTATTATTACATTGGCACTTAAAACCACAAGTTACAACCTGGCCCCAATGTTAGACCAAAATTAAAATGAATAGACTTTGAAGCTAAACCCAACACACGTAATGGTATTGTCAGATTACTAAACCTTGTTTGTGTGGTAAGTGACGATCTGGGTAACCAAAGGAAAAAAAATTATTTTACCATTCAAAAAAGAAACCCCCCCTTCCAGCCCCACCCCCTGCACTGTGAGAATTTACTTAGTCTGATCATTGGCTAGACCCTTACTATAGAATATCATTCCAGAAATATTTCTGGTGTTCACAGTTTCGTGAGTTTAGTAGTCTATTAGTGTTCAAATATAAATGGCACAAATCTGAGAGGAAAAATCATCATAAACCAAAGCAGAAAATATTTTTACAACTTCAGTTTTATTGCAAGGCTACAATGATAACTTTAAATTGTCGAGTTATTACACTACCAACAACACTTGAAAACCATCAGCTAAGTTATACAATGAATTCTTGGATTCCCCTATTCTTGGACTTCTTTTAGTTATACACACAATAATTAGACAGCTATGCTGCTTTTCTTACAAAAAGTTCAAAAAATTACACAGTTAACACAAAAAAGTGGTTTAAGGCTTAAATATCGTTATAACTTGTAAGCATAACCTATTGAATACATAATATTATAGATTAACCAGCGCTTCGTTTTACGAGCCTGCCACTTACATTAGAATCTCAACAGTTTTTCCCTTAGTCCAGCCCTCACCTCTTCAATAATTTACCTCAAATCAGTGTATCAAGAATAAGATATCACAATGAAAGCGATTCAGCTAGCACTTATGAGAACAAAATTAACGCCCTAGGTTGAGTTGTTTCATGATTTGTTTGGCCCCCTTTGTTTGGCTGTAATTCGGCACTGACAGGAAGAACTAGATGGTCACCAACCCTGGATACAAATCAACCACTGAGGTCTTTATCTTTACTAAATCAAGCCCTAATATTACCTTATAGCACTGCCCTACTTTAAGAACCCTAGCTCCAGAAATGCCTAGCATGAACTAGACTGTGCCCACAGTTCCTTAAGCCCCGAAGTTGGTAAGATAAAGAAAGCCTTGTAACCAAGTGTCAACACAATGCAAAAATTTTGTTCATCACAACCCAAAAGATGGTCAGCTGTGATGAAATGTGGCTGAGGGACTCCCAAATCAACTCGCATTCATGAAAACCAAAATAGAACGCCAACTGGTATGCCCCTGACTAAAGGATATAAAGACAACTTTGTTGATTCTCTGTATCAATTCTAAAAGCCAGATCATGATACTTCAAAACACAGTCATTTTTAAAAGATCTTCACCTTCCGCCCTAATCGTATGTGAGAGATGATGGTTAAGATATACCATGAGGTGAGAGCCAAAGAGAGATATATGTGAACAAGGTACAAAAACTGCCTTTAGAGAAACTTTTTATGAAATTTAAGTGAATTAACGTGGAACATCCCACATACTTATGACTACAAAACACGTCTACAAACAATTTCTAGTGCTACAAAGTTCAAAGCATTGACAGTCCTGCTTCTGCTGCTGATAGACGGTCCAATAATTGCTTGGGCTTCTTAAGGTCCTTTGGCCTGAGGAGGGGGGTATTGGGCCATTCCTTGAGCCTGAGGAGGAGGGTATGGACCGGCTTGTTGCGGTGGATAATACGGTGGCGGTTGAGCAGCATATCCCTGGGGTACTGGCGGAGGAATGGTCTGCTGTGTTGAAGTTGTGGATACAAATTGCCGGTATCCTGTGGCAGGCGCTCCCACGATGACTGTTCCTGGATGGCGATAGCGATAATAAGGGCAACAAGCACAGCAGAAACACGCCGCGATAGAAATCACAATGGCGGTGACCACCAAACAGCCGAAGACAATGCCTACAATGGCTGGAGTCTTGAGTACAGAGCAATCGTAGCAATAGCCATCCGAGTCACAGCATTCGTCCGTACCGCACTCGTAATTGAAAGTGCAGCCGCTGCACTTTTCTCTACAGACACCATCCCAACAGCAACTCTCGTCAAAATCGCAATCGTTATCATATGAACCGTACGTACAAGGGCACTTGTTGAGCAAAAAAAGAAAGCGAAAAGCACAAAAACTTCCTTGAACGCCATGACGGTGCAGACGTGAACGCGGAAATGTTCGAGAACACACTGGATAACCCATAATAATCCTAGGGAGTTGTTTCGAAGACAGCGCGGGCTGGCTCCTGTCCAAAGTCCAAATTCGCTCCAGTCTGCAACGGATAAATTCCTACAAAAAAACGGTTGCGTCAAAAGGAACCTACTTTTTTATTTTTTTGTCGCTCTATACATAGCTTATCACTCGAAATTGAGAGCTTACTCACCGAGATTAAACAAAATACGGTAAAAAGGTTTGAGAGGGACCAAAAAATTCACACATCCTGCCTCTGTTGCCCGGGGCGGGGGCACTTTAGAAATTCTGGGTGGGGATGTGCCGCTTTATACCAGAGCTAGTTCAGCTGAATTTTGCTACCCTATACTAGAGTAGACTCCCAAAATCCCCCTTTCTAGAGTCATCCGTTTCCTGAAAAATGATACCCTATTCTAGACCTAAACGCCCTGATTTATATACCCTAGCCTAGAGTAAACTGCTTGAAAACCATACCCTTCACAGCGGCACATACCCATATAGCCCATATATGGCAGTACCCTCCCCCCGGGCTCTGTTGCCTACCCAGATTGTCATTTCTCTTCAAATTATCACTGAAAAGGAAAGGCTAACCGGACAGCTATGGATGGGTAATTTATAGCATAGCTGTTCGATGATCCTGGTCAAAAGCTTTAATGAAATGATGGCGAGGTTTGAGTGGACGACTTCATATATACACTTCGCGTCATTTTTAGTATTGTCATCCAGGAAATCATACTCATAGGCTCCTGTTGTCAAAGAATGTTTTTCTACGAGTTACACATGAATAATGCAGTGGACGCGAATTATTTTAATGCTTTATTTTTCTTCACCTAGTATTTTTAAATCAAAGTCAACTTAGCTTGACGCGGCACTGTGCAATGAGTTCGTAATCAAGGTACAACAAAAGGGATTTTGAAATTCAGACTTCTAGAGACATAAAATTGCAACATATATATGTTATAGATCAATCACAAGAATGGGTGGTTAAAATGCTAAATCATTGGGCGCTTTCCATTTAGTCAAAATTTCCGGAATTTCCGGTTCCGCGGTAAATGGAACACGTTTCGTTAGTTCGTCCCACTGGAAAATTTCCAGAAAAAGTGGAAAATCTAAAAAGGTGGGCCCGTTTTCCCGATTGGAATTTCCGAACGGAATGTCGTGTTCCATTCACGTTTCTCGTAGTTTGTACCAGTTCCAGGTCCACGGTTGGGCACCGCCACGTACCGGGGTTTACGACCAAATGGAACAACTTTTTACCAATCGGAAATTCCACTTTTGCTACCACCGAAATTTCTGGGTTTTTTCCTAAATGGAAAGCGCCCATTGTGTACGCCAAAAGGCGACGTCCGACGCTAGACAGCCAACCCCACTGATATCATCTAAAGAAGATAAGCCGGTTCTACAAAACAAAATATCGGCCAATAAGCGGCACTCTTTGTCACGGTGGCATCCACACGGCAATCGTTTGATAACCGCGTAAAATCACATGACAGGCTTAGTTTCTTATTTAAAATGTTAAACTTCTCACATTAAATGCAAAGCGATCTACTACTTGAAAAGTCTTGAATGGCCCTCCTGCTTAGCACGGAGGATATGAAGGTACTCCAGAGGCCCGGGGAATTCAAGATGCTCCAAATGGAGGCGGGTTGTATCCCGGGGGTGGCGGGTTGTATCCTGCGGGTGGCGGGTTGTATCCCGCGAGTGGAGGCTTGTATCCCGGGGGTGGAGAATTGTATCCTCCATATGGTGGCGGCTGAATAGTTTGTTGTGTTGACTGAGTTGTTGCAATGAATCCGCCCATAGGTTGTGTGACTACAACTGTTCCCGGGTGGCGGGTACGATAACACGGACAGCAAGCACAGCAGCAGCAAGCCACGAAGGAAATCACAATGGCGGCGACAACCAAACAGCTGATGACAATACCTGCAACGGCTGCGCTAGTGAGGCTATGAGTACAAACCAGCTTACAGGTGTCATCCGAATCGCAACACTCATCAGAATCACACTGCCAACTGTACGAGCAAGAGTCGCAGTTTTTTCTACACTTGCCATCCGAGCATTTCTTCTGACAGTCGCCACTCCAACAGCATTCTCCAGTTCCACACTGGTAACTGTAAGAGCAATAGTAGCACGTCCGTCTACAAACGCTATCTTTACAACACGTCTCCAAAAGTCCGCAGTGATCGTCGTTTATGCAGAACGTAGCACTTGCAAAGTAAAGCCAGCAGGCGAAAACGAAAGCGACTCCCTTGACAGCCATGAGTGGATTAAGGCGCAAGATAAAAGAATGAGGAGCCAATGAATAAATTAACAAGGGTAATATGAACAGGAACTGGAGCAGTGCAAACAGCATAGCTGACGCTACTTTCAAGCCAATAGGTCAATGCCTATGATTTTCAAAAGCTTGTGTGTAGAGTATTGTACTCGTCTGTCAAGGCCCTTAGGCGCCTTATCCATTGTCTGAATGCGCTAGCATAATTTCTGGCATAATTTGTCAAACTAGAGACGTTACTAAGGTAAAAAGGGCCTCACTACAGTAAATATTCGTAACGCTTTACTGTAGTAAACCTGACTGGCCCACTTGAAAACGTATTTGAAGCTTTACATGCGTTTTTTTTTTTTTTCGCGTGATAACGTGAGCAAATGATAGCGTGTCATGAGAGCTATTGTAGCTCAAAACATTTGTTTACTAATGCAAAAACCCAATTAGTATGAGTTCATTTTTATCCGCTCGATCGGTTCCCATTGTATTAAATTAAACTCTTTAAAAAATGCTACAGATAATTAACCAAACAAACCCTTTCTTATCTTAAAGTCTCTGCCATGTTTTTAAAGTCCATGTCGCTCTTTGGTTTAGTTTAGATAATTTAACTATGCTCAATGGTCACGCAATTCAAGAAAATTTCAGATGCGCTAAAATTTTTCTCTTTCGAACAGAACTACTTTTTAAACCGTTTTCCTCAAAAATGAATTTTGGTAAACCCGAGGTCATCTTTGGTCTTTCCGCCGTAGTCATGGAAATTAACCACAGTAACCGCACGCAGTCTATAAGTTTGCAACGACAACATTCTCGAGCTGAATGAATGGCAATTATGAACCAACCTCTCAGTGAATGCTCAAACTTGTAAGACGTCTCACCAACCGCATTGTTTGATAAATATGCAGGTCATTTTGTGTTTGATTCGTGAGCAGGATTTAATAAGCTTGGCAACCAATAAACATTTCCATCCAGGGGTTATAAAGGGAAGGGAAGTCTGGGGTGGGTACTCAATCATCATGCATTACCCCTCCCTCCCTAGTCTCCTACGCAGCCGTTTGTGTCGATCTTCACGCCGGTCGACGACACAAAAAAGCTGCGTAAGTGAACACTTTCTCTCTACCGCTCATCATGTCCCCTTCAAATTGTTGCTCCTCTCAGTTTAAACCGAACCCATGTATGGAATTCAGAAAAAAATGAGCAAGTGTCTAATATGAGGAGCCTTTAATCTTGATAACATAAACTGACAAAGTTTCGTCCATTTAAGGTTCCTAAAATTCATTTAGACCTCTAGTAAAAATTCTTCTTCATAAATTAGGGGTGGTCCAAGTGGGTAGTCCATGGACCAGGTCCACGAAGAGGTCCATGGCCTTGGTCCATAGAGGTGGTCTATCTACTAGGGGTCCATGTTCTGTATACGTCCCAAGATTGCAGGCCAAGGTTGGTACTGGGCCTCGACACAATAAATTTTATCAAAGAAAGTTGCAAACCTTGACGAAAAGTTCGTTAGCGATCTACCTGGTGGTTTAATTCTCGCTAAAACTCCTAGTAGAATGACGACGGCTACCACACGCTTTCCCGCCAAAATGACGCTTCACTAAAATTCAAACTAAGAAACTATCGATTCTTCTGAGTTTCTGAGTTTCATGAGGTATTACAGCACCTAAACACCTTTATTTAAAGAGAGTTTTGGTTCGAAAGGGTTCTTCGTTTTGCGATAGAGGACGTTTGAATTTCTAGGCTTTTGCGTGACGCGGCATTTAGCTGGCGGCCACAACGGCTCCTATGTGGGTTAAAAACATTACCAATTTTGGGAGATTTTGCTGTCTAAACATTCATTGTCTCAGAATAAATATCACTTTAATAGTTTATGAGTTTTTCAAGCGATGAATTAACGCATTAGTAGGAAAACTCAAAAACAGATGTTTCTGTTGGTTTCCGGCGGCCATATTTGTGCCCCGCAAAGGGACACAAACATGGCGTCTCCATACAAAGCTTTCTAAATTTGGGTAAAACGTTTTTCCTAATATCTCGCATATGAAATATCGCACAGACCTGATTCTTGGCGAGGCCTTTTGCTTATTTATCTTCTTTTATTTCCTAGATTCGGGACTTTCTGTATTGAATGGTTTGCAATTTTATTTTTGATTGCGTGACAGTGAAAACCGAGAATACTATTGAAAAAATCTCGAACTCGTAGTCCTCGTCACGCTTACAAGCTAAAGCTCTCTACTTTCAGCGGATGGGCGGGAGCAATAATGAAATGCATCTGGGCTGAGCTTTCTGGGCTACAATAACAAAACAACGCATGCACAGCAGTCGTTCACACAAGTCAGTAAGCTGCGGACAACGTTTTAGTCCATTTATACGAACACTTTCACGTCTTAGGTTAGCCGCGGTTTGAATAAGCACAGCTCAAAACCCGGCTCGGCCAGGACAAGCCGCTGCTTAAGCTACAGGTGGATTGAATAAACCGTAAACATTTTTACGAGGTGTTCGCGTAGTTTTGCAAGGCGCGACCAGAGTACGCCACTGCTTATTTTCTCTCGTATAAACTCACGGTCCTCATGAACTGACTCAAGATTCTTTCGAAACAGCTGCTAAAGAACTCGCGTAATTTAGCTTGGTTACCCAAGATGGTGACCTTGCGCTGGTCGTTTTAAAATTTTTTTACCTTTTCACATTGACGGTGCCGAGCCAG